CGTTCAAGTTCTCCTGGGGAGAACAATTCCCGAGAGCATCTGATTGATAGAAATTCCCTCTCACGCGTTTGGACAAAATTCGGACACATGCGGGTTTTCTTTTAACGAGTTAATCTGGTCGACGGGAAATGCTACGCTCGATAATGTCCTCATCGAGCTTGATTCCACCAACCAAAAATCTATTGAAATGCCATTTTCGTCAACTTCTTCAACTAGTGACTTGCGTCTTCGACGCAGCATTAATCCCATAGACTAGCGCCTTGTCAACGGGCACTTTCATTGACTTGCAAAAACACTTCAACGTCAACAATTTAATCTTGTTGACGGACGCTTTGTCAGATGGCGGCGAAAATAGAGTCGACATTGTACCGGGAGAGGGAGCTTCACATTAGAAATGCGGGTCATGATTCTCACCAAGAACAAAAAGGGACAGCGTAAAAGCTGGCCGACATTGTCTATATTAATCGTCCTCACTTTGTCCATATCTCTAGAGCCGACGCCGCTCAAATAACCCTTTCAACCATTCTTGTGCAGAAACTTTTTCGACTAGCATCGTGATACAATCGGTGACACTATAGCTCTGAACAGTTCCGCAAGATCATGACCAATACACTGCCACACAGGGCTGTGATGGAACCCTTTCCGACGTAGACGTTGTGGAGGTTCTTGCTCATTAAAATGGTTACTCTCCTCCCTTACCAAACTCTACTTCACGGTGCCAGCATTTGCAAGGTCACTCTCATCGACATCTTCCTGTACTGACTGGCGAGCGGGTCGTCGGTGAACCTAAATAGCCAGCCAGTCTTCATTGTGTTCTTCTCGCGGAACACGAAGACGTGCAAGGTTAAGCGCCTTCATCACAGTTACGCGATGAGACATTAGGAAAATGAGGTAGTTTTCTGCCAGCGAGATATTCCTGTAGCTACACTTCATCCTCGACCAGATCCATTAGACTTACGACTTCCGCTTTCTTCTGCCACTCGACACCACCGAACCCAACCTCTGGTACAAGAAACACATCTTCTTTGGCCGCAACAAGAAAGTGCAATATTGGCGGCGAGCTACCAACGATTTACGCCAAGATGTGGAGAACCAATGAGGTTTTCATCAAGCGAAACGTGCATGCCATTCAGGCTGGCGGGGCACAGGAGTTGGCCGACCAAGGAACACCTCCGGCCGAGATCATGAAAGTGGGTCATTGAGGGACTACTTCTTGGGTCGCAGCAGGTTGGATCCCACCTCAAATCTTGCGATCATCGCCCAGAACATCTTCTTCAGCATAGAGGCCCTGCTAGAGGAGGTTAATTTATCGACGCTGACATCATTTTACAGGTCGCAGATCGTACACTATCAATACCAGATATATTCGTATTCATGCAAGTGGAAGGGTCCAACGGGGACATGACCGCCATGCACTTTTGGCGGACCCTCCAGGAGGCATGCTGCATTGTCACCGAGGACCTTGCGGTGAAACTCGTCCTCACATTTGAGCACCCATGCGTCCAAGGTTACAAGCTCTTCCAGAATGGCCGCTTCCATAAGTGGGCAAAAGATGTTGAGAAATTTGACACAGAAATTATCGCCAAGTGCCAAACGCTGACTGCCAGATAGCCGTGGTAAGCTTGGATTAAGTCGACGTCGCTCCGAATCAATCATGTATGCCCTACACCCGACTGCCGGCATTATCCGTTGACACTTGCAAGAAATTGAAGCCCGCCTGAATGCCGAATTCAAGGTTGACATCCTAAACAGAATGCTGACGTACGAGAGGCACATCACCTGGTCGAAAAGATGGAGATCTAGATAGAGCTCGAGGATGACAAGGTGACCATCACCACGCAGCACTGAGATAGCCAGCCTTATGGAGGCACTCAAGATCTCCAAAATGCAGAGGATGCCAAAGGCACCTATAACAGCAATTGCGGAGTTGATTACCAAGGCAAAAACTCCAGGCGGCTGCCAAGAATTAGGAACAGTTGGATGACGACACTTGGTAGGAGCTCTTGGTGGACAAACGCAGGCCTCTTGTTATCTGGGTAAAATACCCTTTTTGCACTGACTGGCGGCCGCTTTTTTTCAGTTACCCTTTCACAGGCAGGGTAGTGGATTTTTTACCCTAGGCCAGAAAGTGTAATTTCTAATACCCTTTGAAAAACAGCGTAACGAACATATTTCTCTGACTGTACAGTGTACAAGCCCAGTTACACTGATCCGAACAGACCGTAGCGAGACGAAACACTGTAGCAAAATGCTCCCGAAAACGAGACTCGAACCAGAGACCTTTCAGATCTGACTTAGGGTACATTCCGCCCTGGACATGTCCCAATCGTACATGTCCCAATCGGGTGTACCGCTCCGAACCGAACTAAACCAGAGAAGCGAAAAATTTTAAACTAGGGTGTAATTCGGTGTAATACGATGCAGTGCGGTAGAATCGATTGGGACACATCGATTGGGACGCTGTCCACAGCGGAATGTACCCTTAAAGGAACCAACTGACCAGTAACAACTGAATTTAGCTGCTTTGTCAAATTACATATAGATGTTTTTTTTATAATTGTCAAACATATATATCTGTTATATGTTGTAGGTTTTGGTAGGCTGAAGTGGGGTAGATGCTATGGGGTATAACCCCTTAGGGTTTTGTACTTGTAAAATTCTCTCGATAGTCCACACACACTTCTTCCTTACTCCTAACATGGTATTAAGAGCAATTAGGTCCTTAGGACCGCTTTAGGACCGCGTTTAAGGGCCCACCAACCGCTTCCGCCGGTTACCACCCTACCCCGCGCCCTACCCTATGTCGCTTAGCCGTGCGCGTCGCCTCTGCTGGTCAGCGCGCCGCTCGCTAGCACCCCTCGCGTCGCCTGTGCTAGCCAACGGGCCGCCCGCTAGCAGCCCGCGCTGTCAGAATATTATGCTCTAGCCTGCAGTGGGGTGCTCTATAGCGAGTACAACCCTTCTAGGGTTAGCTATTTGTACCACCATTGTTGCTAGTGCAAACCCCTCCTTTGCTTCATTCTCTCTTGCCTAGCTAGGTCAACCCTAGCTATGGCTCCTAAGCATACCTATTATCTCGACATGGTATCAGAGCAGGACGATCCTGTTGGGTCGATCCTGTGGGTGGGCCCCACCACCTCAGTCTTCCGCTGCTCCTACTACTGTCTGTGTCGCACGCCCCGTGGCGTGCGACGGATTTTTCATCCCGCCGCGCGCTCGGGGCGTGCGGCGGTTTTCTCCCCGCCGTGCGCCCCGAGGCGCGCGGCGGTTTCCTACCGTGGGGGACCCCGCGCGCCCCCGCCCTTTCCGTTGCGACGTCCTGGGGAGCCGCGCGCGGCCCCCCGCGGCCCCGATTTCCCATCGCGCCGCCCTGGGGAGCCGCGCGCGGCCCCCCGCTACCCCGATTCGCCGTCGCGCCGCCCTGGGGAGCCGCGCGCGACCCCTCGCTGCCCCGTCGACGGCCGCGACGCCCTGGGGAGCCGCGCGCGGCCCCCGATTTCCCGTCGCGCCGCCCTGGGGAGCCGCGCGCGACCCCCCGCTGCCCCTTCGCGGCGCCCTAAGGAGCCGCGCGCGGCCCCTCGCTGCCCCGTGGTGGCGTCCTGGGGGCCGCGCGCCGTCCCCCTCGCCGTCCCCCGCGCTCCTTCCCCCGTTCCGCCCGTTTTAGGGTTTGGGGGTGAGGAGTGTGGGGGTGGCGACTATGGGGGTGTCGGTTGTGAGTTCCTCCCCCTGCTCCTCCTCCTCCCTAGTCTCCCTCTGCTACAGCTGCCGCTGAGGGGGGTGGTGTGTGGGAGCCTAGGGTTTGGGGTTTAAGGGGGGTACCGTGGGAGTGGAGCTAGCTAGGGTTTGAAGCAGAGGGTGTGTGTCGAGGGGTGTGGGACTGTTGGGGGAGGTTGAGCGGAGGTTGCCGTCGTGTCGTACGCAGCGCCTGTACTCCGGGGCACTCATTCCCGGTAGCTCAGAGAGCCGGTTGCGCCGTCGCCTGTGGGTCCGTTGCTCCTGCCGCGCATATTAGCCGCGGAGCCTGTTACTCCTGTACTCCGGGGCACTCATTCCCGGTAGCCACGTTGTCGCACCAGAGCCGTCTGTTGCCCGTGTGTCTGCATCTTCAGTCGTCGCCTCCTATCTACTCTCCTCTCGCCAGCCCTCCTCCTCCTCACTTGCCCCCTGTGACTGCCTCTAGCTTTGCTCATAATTGTGAACCTTAAACTATTGCTTCTTGCTTGTGCTCAGAATGTGTGGTGACATCGTGATCCACCCTGAGCTTGTACTGCTTTGCTTGCTCTGCTGATTACACCCCACTTTGACTATGGGGGTGTGTCAGAATATTATGCTCTAGCCTGCAGTGGGGTGCTCTATAGCGAGTACAACCCTTCTAGGGTTAGCTATTTGTACCACCATTGTTGCTAGTGCAAACCCCTCCTTTGCTTCATTCTCTCTTGCCTAGCTAGGTCAACCCTAGCTATGGCTCCTAAGCATACCTATTATCTCGACACGCGCGACTCGCCCGCTGCTTGCGCAGCCCGTGCGCAGCCCCTGCAGGCCCGCGCGCCGCCCACTAGCAACCCGCGAGCCCCGTCGTACAGCCCCGCAGCCCCGCACGCCGCCCTCCCTACTGCCGCGGTTGTTTGCTGCACCCACGTGCCGCCCGTCGCCCTGCCCCGCAGCCCCGTGTGCCGCCCGCCGTGCTGCCGTGGCTGCGTGCCGCACCTGCGTGCCGTCCGTTGCGCTCCCTCGCAGCCCAGTGCACAGAACGCCCTGCTAAAGCGGCTGCCTCCTGCACCCGCGCGCCGCCCTTCACGCTGCCCTGCAGCCCCGTGCGCCGCCCTCCCTGCTGCCGCAGCCGCCCGCCACACTCTGCGCGCGACCTGTTCTGCAGCCCTGCCGGCCGCCTGTAGCCCCGTGCACCGCCTGCCTCTGCCGCGGCTGCCTGCTACGCTTTAGCGCGCCGCTCCTGCCTCTTGCTTTCTATTGCTCTGCCTGCTAGTCTTACGCCGGCAGCTATGGCCACCCTCCGCGTTCTCTCATTCGATGCTGAGGGCCGCCCGATTCAGTTCGAACCCTGGCTAGATGATCTCCACCTGTTCTTAATGAGCGATTGCAAAGACAACGTTTCGCTTTTCGACCACACTTCTGGTGCATCCGTCGCCCCTGCTGCTGCAGCTGAGCTGAGCGTCCGTTCCCAGTGGCAGACTCGTGACGCTGCTGCCCGCCTAGCCATTCGCAACCACCTACCGCTATCCGAACTCAAGCATTTTGGCGAGCACAAAACCACTAAGGCCCTGTACGACGCTGCAGTTGCTCAATACTCCTCCCCTACCACTGCTGAGCTTAGCCGCCTCATGCTGCCCTACCTGTTTCCTGAGCTGTCCACATTTCCCACCGTTGCCGATCTTATCACCCACCTTCGCACTAGTGACACTCGCCTTCGCGCCGCCCTCCCCAGAGAGTTCTGTGCTAAGAACCCGCCTCCGATGTACTGGACCCTCCACTTCATAGTCACTCCCTGACGTGCTTAGCTCGGTCAGGGACCACTTTCTCGCTCGCTGTCCCACCGACTCCTCGAGGAGCAACTCCTTGCAGCAGAGAAGAGTATAGTCGCTGTAGCTGCTGCTCGTGGCGCTCCTCGCTCTCCTATCTTTGAGGGGTGCTCTCCCTCTCCCCTCGCCCCCTCCTTCGCTACTGCTGCTGCTGTTGACTTCCTTGGTGCTGAGTCTGCTGGTGCTGCTTCTGCTCCTGGTGGAAGGCGCCGCAACAGCAAGGGCAAGGGAGGCAAGGGTAGTGGAGGTGGCAACGGGGGGGGTGGTGGTGGAGGAGGTGGAGGAGGAGGAGGTGGCGGAGGGGCTGGTGGTGGGAGTGTTGGCGGGAGTGGCAGTGGCATTGGAGGCAGTGGAGGCGGAGGGGGTGGCAGCGGCGGTGGCGGCAGCGGTGGCGGCCGGGGCGGTGGTAGCGGCAGCGGAGGCGGTCGGGGTGGAGGCACTGGCGCTGGCCAGAGCCAGCAGCAGCAGCAGCGTCCCCAGACATCCCAGCAGCTTCGTGAGTGGCTTACTCAGCGTGGGAAGTCTGGGGGTGGTGGTCGCTGCCCTTATGTCATTCGCACAGGTGACCGCAAGGGTCAGACGTGCAACAAGTTCCACACCCAGTGCCGCTGCTTCTCCCGCCTTGACGACGCCTGGCGTGAGGAGATGGGCGAGGAGGTAGACCGCCCTCGCTGGCATGAGCTGTATCGGGCTGGTGTAGACATTTTTGCTCTTGACTTTGATGCTATTATCTCTGCTATGTATGCATTGGAAGTTAGTGCTGATGGTGACTGTTACCTGTGTGTGCCGCCTGACCCAGGTATAGAAGGTGTTGCCTTAGAAGCACGCGAGTCTGCTCTCTCAGGTACTTCGCCTGCTGAGGCCTTGCACACCTTCACACTTGACTCAGGTGCTTCCCGCTGTTTCTTCCGTGACAGTACTGCCCTCACACCACTCCCAGCACCTGTTCCAGTCCGCTTGGCTGACCCCTCCGGGGGCCCAGTTCTTGCACGTTCCTCCACAGTGCTTCTGTGCCCGGCGGTCCCGTCTGGCTCACTGTCAGGTCTCCACCTCCCCTCGTTCTCGACGAACTTGGTGAGCAACGCTGCCCTTCAAGATGCGGGGGTTAATACCTTCACCCCTGCATGGCAGCGTGTGGCGATCTGCACGTGTGCACAGACTGGCCGTCACCTGGCCACGTTCACTCGTCGGCCAGGGTCGAGTCTTTACACACTGACGACTGCGTCTCCTCAGGTTGCTGCTGTCGGTCAGGTGTCCGCGTCAGGTTCGGTAGCCTCCCCCTGTGAGTGTCGCTCCCTGTCGCACCAGACTCTTCTCTGGCACCACCGTCTGGGTCACCCCTCCTTGCCTCGTCTACGTGGCATGCACCGTCGCCTCCTTGTCTCTGGTCTTCCCAGGTCTCTGCCTCCCCTCCCTCCCTCACCTGCGCCGCCCTGCCTTCCTTGCGTCGAGGGGCGGCAGCGCGCTGCTCCTCACTCCTCCTCGTTCCCCCCGACAGAGGCTCCTTTGCAGACCCTCCACATGGGCGTGTGGGGTCCAGCCCGCGTCACTGGACAGGGCGGCGAGCGGTACTTTCTGCTGGTTGTCGACGACTACTCGCGTTACACCACGGTCTTCCCCTTGCGCACCAAGGGTGAAGTCCCTGCTGTCCTGATCCCTTGGATCCGAGCAGTTTGTCTCCAGCTCCGCCGCCGGTTCCGGTCGTACCTTCCTGTCCTGCGTCTGCACTCTGACAGAGGTGGTGAGTTCTCCTCCGACCTCTTGCGGGCCTTCTGTCAGAGGGAGGGCATCGAGCAGTCCTTCACGCTTCCGGGCTCACCGCAGCAAAATGGGGTTGCTGAGCGCCGCATTGGTTTGGTCATGGAGATCGATCGTACCTTCTTGATCCATGCGGCTGCTCCCCATTTCCTGTGGCCGTTTGCAGTCCGGTACGCCGCGCAGCAGCTCAACCTCTGGCCCCGTGTGTCCTTGCCGGACACCTCGCCCACACTGCGTTGGACGGGGGAGGTTGGTGATGCGTCGCGCTTCCGGGTCTGGGGTGCTCGTGCCCTTGTCCGCGATACGTCCGCGGACAAGCTCTCCTCCCGCACCATTCCCTGTGTCTTCCTTGGCTTTGTCCCTGACGCGCCTGGCTGGCAGTTTTACCACCCCACCTCGCGCCGGGTCTTCGCCTCTCAGGACGTCACCTTTGACGAGTCGGTTCCTTTCTACCGTCTCTTCCCCTACCGCACTGCCCCTCTCCCTCCCCCGCCGCTTTTCCTCGCTCCAGGTCCCCCTCTGGTTGACCCCCTCCCCTCTCAAGGTCCTGCTCCCTCAGGTGTGTCTCAGGTAGACCCACTCCCCTTTGTTGTGCCTTAGGAGGTCACTTCTGACACCTCTGGCCCACCTGAGGGGGGTGACGTTGCTGCTGACGCCCCGGCGGCGTGCCGCCGCACACCACACTTGGAGACCCCTCCGGGTTTCCCGCCGCGACCGTCCTCGCCGCCTCTGCAGCCGGTTCCTGTTGACTCTGGTGCTGCTGGGGGTGGTGCTACTCGGGGTGCTGCGTCTGGGGGTGCTGAGCCTGTGCGTGAGGTGCTGGGGGGTGTGGAGCCTAGGGGTACTGGGCCTTCGAGTGCGGAGCCTGAGGGTGCTGAGCCGGAGGGTGCTGGGTCGGGGGGTGCTGAGTCTGCTGGCGTTCCTCAGGGTCTTGTTTCCCGGCGGGGACCTCTCTCACCACAGCAGCTTCGAGGGTGGCTTGCGTGGCGTAGCCGCCTGAGACGTCGTGCTGCTGGAGCTGGAGGTCCTGCTTCTGGAGGTACTCCTGCTACGGGTGTTGAGACTGGAGCTGCTGGAGCTACTCGTAGTGGAGGCGCTGTGAGTGCTGGTGTTTCTGGTTCTGGAGGTACTGGAGCTGCCCGGACTGGAGGTGTCGCGGGAGGCGCTGGAGCTGGAGACCCTGGAGCTGGTGCTGTCGACCCTGGAGTTGGAGACCCTGGAGCTGGAGGTGCTGGTTCTGGGGGTGCTGCTGCAGGGGGTGCTGTTTCTAGGGGTGCTGCTTCTGGAGGTACTGAGGCTGGAGAAACTGGAGCTGGAGGTGCTGGTTCTGGGGGTGCTTTTGCTGCTGGTTCTGGGGGTGCTTCTGCTGCTGGTGCTGGAGCTGGGGCTGCTGGCGCTGGAGCCCCTGGAGCTGCTGACGCTGGAGGCGCTGGAGCTGCTCGCGCTGGAGGCGAGGGTGCTGCTGGTGCTGGAGGTACTGCGACTGTTCGAGCTGGTGGTGCTATTGGTACTAGAGGTGCTGGTCGTCCGAGCGCTACTGGTCGCGGAGGTGCTCGCGCTTCGGGAGCTGGAGCTGCCGGGGCTAGTAGTGCTGCGGACCCTGGAGCTGGTGGTACGGCACAGTCGCGCCTGTTCTTCGCTCCGCCGTCTCCGTCGTCCCTGCCGCCGCCTGACACCGTGCTTCGCCAGGTTCTTACCCTCCCGTCTTCTACTGGCCTCCCGTTACAGCCCGGCTCTCCGCTGCCTGCGCCGTCTCCTTACACTGTGCAGTCTGAGTCCCCTTCATAGCGTCGTGAGCCTGCGTCGCGTCCTGCCTCACCTGTTCGCACTGTTCGCACTGCTCGTCGTGTGCCTCGTCCACGTCCTCCCCCTATGCCAGGTGTTTACACTATGGCACTTCGTCCTTCCTCTGTTCCTCTGCGCGTTCCCCTGCCGTCTCCTCCTGCGTCCTCTCTGCCTGACGTTCCAGACCCTGAGTCTGACCAGTTTCGTGCTGAGCACCCTACTGTCACGCGTCTTCTAGCCACTGTTGTCACTGACCCGTCGTTTGAGTCTGCTGCTGCGTCTGCCTTGGTTGCTGAGCTTGTCGACTTTGCTGCTGCCTGTCGTCTAGACTACGCCGCTAGTCTTGTTGCTGAGTCTGAGTCTCTCTGTCCTCCGTCCGTCGGGGGTGAGTGTGCTCTTGGCACAGACGTCCTTGAGGACAGGCACGAGGACCTTGAGGGCATTTCGCACAGCCGCTGCGCCTCATCTCGTGGCCATGCTGCTTGCCCCTGAGGGAGACCCGGATGCACCAGACATCCCGACCCCGCGCTCTTACGCTGAGGCGATCGCGGGTGAGTACTCCTCTCAGTGGCAGACAGCCATGGATGCAGAGATGGCATCCTGGAAGTCCACAGGCACGTACGTCGATGAGGTTCCCCCTCCTGGGGCGAACATTGTCGATGGCATGTGGATTTTCAGGGTGAAACGGCCGCCGGGTTCTCCGCCTGTCTTCAAGGCTCGTTACGTTGCTAGAGGCTTCAGTCAGCGTGAGGGAGTTGATTTCTTCCAGACCTTCTCCCCTACCCCGAAGATGACCACTCTTCGGGTGCTGCTGCACGTTGCCGCTCAGCGTGACTACGAGCTTCACGCTCTTGACTTCAGCACAGCCTTCTTACAGGGCAGCCTGCACGAGGAGATCTGGCTGCGCCGCCCACCTGGCTTCACTGGGTCGTTCCTTCCTGGTACCCAGTGGAGCCTCCGGCGGCCAGTCTACGGTCTCCGCCAGGCGCCTCGTGAGTGGCACGACACACTGAGGACTACACTTGCGGCTCTTGGGTTTGCTCCTTCGACTGCTGACCCGTCACTGTTCCTGCGCACCGACACTTCGCTGCCGCCGTTCTACATCCTCGTGTACGTCGACGACTTGGTCTTTGCCACTGCTGACACTGAGGCTCTCGCTCAGGTGAAGTTGGAGCTGCAGAAGAGACACACGTGCACAGACCTGGGTGAGCTGCGCAGCTATCTTGGCTTGCAGATCACTCGGGACAGAGCACGCCGCACCATCACCCTGACTCAGTCACACATGGTGCAGCAGGTCCTTCAGCGCTTCGGCTTCTCCTGGTCCTCCCCACAGGCCACTCCTCTGGCTACAGGTCACTCCCTCTCAGCTCCACCTTTGGACGAGTCCGTAGAGCCGAGTGGTCCTTACCCAGAGCTAGTTGGCTGCCTCATGTACCTGATGACTTGCACTCGTCCTGACCTCGCGTACCCTCTTGGTCTTCTAGCTCGCTACGTGGCTCCTGGTCGGCACCGACCTGAGCACATGGCTGCTGCTAAGAGGGTACTGCGCTACTTGTGCAGTACATCAGGCATGGGGCTAGTGCTTGGAGGGAAGAGCCCAGTTGTTCTGACTGGGCACTCAGACGCGTCTTGGGTTGACGACCAGACTACACAGCGGTCGTCACAGGGTTACACCTTCAGCCTTGGCTCTGGCTCTGTTTCTTGGCGGTCTACACGCTCGTCTTCTGTTCTCAGCTCCAGTTGTGAGGCTGAGATCTACGCCACCGCCATGGCTGCACAGGAGTTACGCTGGCTCACCTACCTGCTGACTGACTTGGGTGAGCGGCCTCGTTCTCCTCCAGTTCTGTACGGCGACAACAAGGCGGCCCTTGCCTTGTGTGAAGGGCACAGACTGGAGCACAGAACGAAGCACATCGCTCTGCATTACTTCCTGGCTCGAGAGTTGCAGCAGCGACTGCATGCTGGCTCTTGCTAGGTAGTCATCACTGTACTGTTGTTGTTGCATATATATCTCTGCATGTGAACTGGCCTTGTGGCCCTTTGCTTGTGCTCAGAGTGTGTGGTGATGTTGTGATCCACCCTGAGCTTGCTTTGCTTTTCTTGACTGGTCTTGTGACCTCTTGCTCTCCCCCACTTTGCCTATGGGGGTGTGTCAAACATATATATCTGTTATATGTTGTAGGTTTTGGTAGGCTGAAGTGGGGTAGATGCTATGGGGTATAACCCCTTAGGGTTTTGTACTTGTAAATTTCTCTCGATAGTCCACACACACTTCTCCCTTACTCCTAACAATAATTACCCTGGCCATACGGACTGACTACTATTTTCTACCCTGCATTTGTCAAAACGAATCTGAAGGCTGGCCCTTAACGGTTTGAAATCGCATCAGGGGTCTGATATGCAATGAATTATGATATTTAGGCATCATTTCAAAATGACGATGGCACGCAAATAAACTTCACTCCTACAGTTCCAGAGCAAGACCTGCCATTGTACTCGTGAAATTGTGCAATTGCTGTTGAGGTAGCCCCACCGTAGAAGCGGTAAGCAGCTGGGCATGCCATTGACGGCTGGACAGGCTTGGCCCTACCCTTGTTGCATAAACCCATCGTGAATGACCAATACTCTGCCCTGAGGCAAACCTGGGAACATGGGATGGATGGGATAGAGAGTCATGGACAAGTACACCAAAGTGATTAAAGGCAAGGACAATAAGCCACATACTTTTTTCAGAGGCCCTGCAAAGTGCACCTACCGTTGTCCACCTATTCCTTTCTCCCCCATCCCCAAGGCCGCTCCCCCCAGCCCTCACAATCCTCACCTGTACACCCATGTTGCTGCCGACAGCCGAGGCGGAGGAAGGGATGGTGGCAGAGCAAGTGAGCCCGGGATTGTTGCGGTACAGCGCAGCCCATTGATTCTCACTGGCACCCCCTTGTGAAGTGCCGGTCCTCTGAAGAAGCCGGTCGCACGTGTCTTGAGGTGTGAGCGTGCCGTATCGGACACACTCGGGCACGGTGAAGGCGAAGGCAGCACTGCGCTCGAGGCACACAGAGCGGCCCGCCTTGATGGGATTGGAGCAGTCAAGGCCGGGGTTGAGCGCAGTGAGACTTCCCTCATTAAGGCTGAGCGCTGGGGTGATGGACGCACAGGTGTCCCCCTGGAGGGTTGGAGAGAGGCAGGGAAAGTTGACTACACAAGCTGGTGTGGTGTAGTGTGGGCAAGAAAGCAGCAGGGCTCACGTTGAGGGAGTAGAAGAATGCAGTGCAGGGTGTGGCGGGAGTACCATCCAGCTGAAGGACACTGCCCTTGGGCAATGGCTGGCTGCAGTCGATGCCCTGCATTGGGACACGCGTGCATGAATCAGAGGTTCGAATCGAACCACACTCCACACAGGCAAGGCCTCCACTCCTCAATGAGTCCTGGAGAGTAAGGTTCACACCTTACCCAGTACCACAGAGTAAGTATTTTTCACAAATTACCCAGTACCACAGAGTATCTGTTCCTTCAGAACCAACCGGCAGTGCAGTAATAACTCAGGGGTGCAGTAAAGCAAGATGTAACAGATGAAGTGATGTGAAAACAAGCTGATATGGAGTGTGCAATCAAAACGCTGAATGAAGGCTCGTAACTCCCACCACCTCTTCCACCCACCGCATTTTGGTTAGTGAAGTCAGACAGTGAAAGGCCTACAAGCGGATGAACATCCGAACACCACCAGTTGTCTCCACTGACTGTCATTGTGGTGCATGTGGTATTAGCTGCAGGCAGAATGGGGAGTGAGAGAGACGCAAGGAAAGAGAGGGACTCATTGAAGTTTTGAAAGAAGAGGAAAACGATTAGAGAAATGGAAGTTGCAAGCTTCAAGAAAGCAAGTGGAGGTTACCAGGAATTTTTACCAGCAAATGAGAACTGGACGTATTCAATCCACCTACTTGGATCGCAGGTGGGGAAACCATCAACGGTTGTGCTTTGAACGTGGTTGGGAGGGCAGATGCAGGAGTAGGAGCCCTTGCCATCGTTGATGCATGCTCCCACGTAGCAGGGGTTCTTGAAGTATGACCCACACACGTCCACTGCCACACGTGCACCGGGGTGGCAGATAATACACAGATTTGAGAAAAACATGGTATTCAACAAAACGCAAGGGGAAATGTGAAGAGAGAAGAAGAGTATATGGTCTACACACTCCCAGCCAGATGCCACCAAACCTCTAGCCACTGCAGCTGAGGAACCTCCAACACAGATCGAACACAGGCAGGAGTGTATAGAGCACAGGAGTCCTAGAAGACTCTTGCTTCTCACCTCATTGTCCTCACTCTCTGTGGCACACACCTGCATACATTTGAAACCTTCTGAATGCTAGAACAGCACGACATCAGTGTGAGACCAGATTTCATGCCCTCCTCCTCACCCTTTTAATTGCCACTGGACTTACCATAAGCACAAGTGGAGCCAATTCTGTTTGCAACTTCCACAAAAGGCTGCACAGTAGCGGTAGGTATATTGCAGGTGCAGTAGTTGCTGCTTGCTGTCGCCCCCTGACACTGGAACCTGCCACACGGGTTCATGCTGGGCTGCGAATCCCCATCGCCCTTGTAGCTGCTTTCTCCACAGGGGTCTCCTGGAACTGGAATGGAAGGCATTAAAGAGAAGTATAGAGCACACTTGAAGTACAGAGCTCATAAAACTCGAAGGCTGGAGTTTGGAGTTTGTTTGGAGTTTGGAGAGCTCATGCCACAAAATTGAGCACCACAATAGATAAGCACCACTCAGCACATACGTGCTTACCAAGTTCGACACCATGTTTGTGTCTCAAATACTTCAATATTTAGCAAACGTTAATTTGAAAGGATTGAATGCTTGACAAACAAATGCATGCGAGTAGCATGGAGAATCAGATTCGTTGTTTAGCTGTAGAGAATCAATTTGGAAACCTCAATTGTTTCCAACCTCAAGTGCACCCCTTCCCTACCAGGATGTTTCCAAGCTCAAGTGCACACCAATGGCGCTAGGAGCAACGTTTTTGGCACGAGGAACACAGGAGGTATTGGCAAGAGAGGAATATCACACAACCATGGCTTGCAGCTGAAAATGGGCAGCACAGACCACTTACCGAAGGGCTAGCGGGTGAAATGCACCACTCTTGATTGAAAATGATGAAGACATGGCTCACCTCACCAGTGACAGAGAACATATGGCTCGATATTGACAATGGGGTATGCCTTACTTTTGACAATGGGGTAGATGCCAGGCAGCACGTTGATGCCACACACGCCATCCCCTCCCTGAATGTCCATCCGCATATGACCCCTTTGGCCCCACTCCTCTCCCCACGAGTTGCGAATGATCCAAAACGGAGGAGCAATGCGGTTCTGGCTGCCGTCGTTTCTTGTGATAAAGTAGCCAATAACGAGTACAACATGGTTGAGACTGCCCGTGTAGCAACCAGGATCCTGATATTTGTAAGTCTGAAGTGAGGTAGGGACAGAACATTCACAAATGGGGAGTCGATGAGCACAGGTCAGACAGGTACGAAGCTGTAGAGCGAGATGCATGATTCAAGTTGATGGCATGCGTCTATGAGAGAACATGCCATCCTAGTGACGACCCTTAAACAGAAGGACCACATAGGAAGCTAGGCACAGTACTGAGTGCGAGGTGCAGCGACTCACCCCATCATACTGCATGAAGGTTGGAGCAGACGCCTCGATGTGAACCACCACTGGCTGCCGCTGCACTGCCAGCATGAGCCCCACATACCCCTTGAACTGCGCTCGCTCAAACGCCTGCACTGGGTACCTTGTTGCCTTGGGCAACGAAATTGCAGCATTGTTGGGTGGGAAAAGGTGGGGTTGCGGTTGGGGTTGGGGGTGAGATTGGAGAAGGCCTGGAGGTTGAAAGAGCCCTGAAACTAAGGAAGGGTACATCAGTCCCCCGGACCAGATGATGAGAAGCCCAAAAAATAATTTCACACCAGAAACTCGCATAGCTGAATGAGGTGGTTTCACTATACCATTCCATACCACATCTACATGCTGTTTGCCCTACCATACCACGTCCATTAACTGGGTGGATGAGGATACATACCATACCATACCATACCATACCATACCATACCATACCATACCATACCATACCATACCATACCATACCATACCATACCATACCATACCATACCATACCATACCATACCATACCATACCATACCATACCATACCATACCATACCATACCATACCACGTCCTCATGCTCCCTACCAGGTCACTATCCCCTGTGAGCCCGCTGGAGGCATCGAGGGCCACGAGCGTCTCAAAGGCCTGGGTGGGGGAGCCGCCAGCAGAGCACTTGTCGGAGTCGGAGAGCCCCATGAGGGCGAAGAGCGAGGGCACTGATAGCTGAGGGGCGCTCTGCTGCTTGGCAATGCCGTATGCCGCCTCCACACTCGCCACCACTGCATACGCCCAGCACGCACCTGAGAGGAAGGTGAAGGTGAAGCAAGGTGAAGCGAGCAATAAGAACGGAGCGATGAAGATAGGCTGCACATTTCATGTACTTGGGTTACCAATTTATGTTAGGAGGGTAAAGAATAGATTTGACAACCTTCACAATCCGAATCGATATTCATGAAGTTGTGTCCCCGTTACCCCTTCTCCATTTAAAGCTCTAGTATACATTTGTCAGGGAGGTTCAGGGTCTTACTGTGTGCCTTACAGTTTTTGGGCAACTTTTCAAGTTCATAAGGATTTTGAACTCCTCCTTTAAATGTATACCAGAGCTTTAATCGCTCTTAATGTGCTGTACTTGACTTGTGAGCCTTCTATTGAGAAGATGAAGGTTCATTGGCATCTGCTGCGTGAACGCAGTACAGACAGAGTACAATAATGAGTGAAAAATGGCAGTGAATAAGGAGGGCCAGTAGTAAGTTCGTTGTTGAAATCGATTAGTAAACAGCAACAGCGTAATGGATGGGAAAAGCGGCTCATGTGCTGAAATGGAAACTCCCGGTTCTTTTCGCACTCACTGCAATCGTTTTGGTTCTTGACAGGCCAGTTGAGGAAGGGCACGGAGTCCCACGTGTGGAAGTCACGAATGCTCCACGAGTCCGCTTTGGTGGCCGACAGCTTGAAGTCCGCACTCACATAGCGCGAAAAGGGACTGGCTCGAGATGGTGCAAATGTGGCCTCGGACAATGAGAGGCCAAGGGCTGTTGGGGCCGGGAAGGGTTGGACATGAAGGGGGATGTGGATGGGGGTAGCAGTTGAGCTGACAGGCATAGCGTGGTCTGAGATTAAAGGCACCTGTTAATGCCTCCAAGAAGTTTGACATGTAAATAGTTGAGCTACAAACGATTAACTAAATATGGTGATCAAGGTCCCCTAAGTACATCAGTAATCGGCTAGAAAGAGTAGGTGAAAATCTTGAAGGCAATAGCCAATAAGATTGGCATATTTTTGCGCCCGGGGTGACTTCCTGAGCGACGCACAGTGGTAGCAAGGTAAGATATTGTGGCGGTAGTACTGCACGTATCTCAGTAACAACAGACCATGGTGGCGTGGTGGGAGAGATTTTTACAACCTTTGGAACCTGCCAGTTATTTTAATGCACGTCAAAGTTATTATGCAGGTTGCTTACTTTTGGTTACCACATGAAAGGGAGCTCACCTTTCTCATTGACCAGGCCTGGCTTGGGTGAAGGAGCAACTGTCGAGAAAGGTACAAGGAAGAGAAGCACAGAAGCCATAGAGTGCTGGTCGGGTGTCGGACAAGGAGAGCACACCATACCATAGGGTAGAAGTGGCAAGATGATGCAAAAGAGCTACCACTGTCATCATCTCCATTATGGCCTAGCATAGCTATGACAAGTGCCACCATCATAATCAGTACCGGGAAAAACATCTCAAGTAAACACCCCATCCTGGTCTCTTGTTCACGAGTGATCAAACTGGCGGGTGCTAAACCGAATTGTTTCGGGACGAACCAGCTGATTTCAGGTTTGGTTTGAAACGGCATTCACCCACCACGGTGGTTACGCAGCCGAATATATAAATTTCTGAGGAATGTGTGCGTACAAAACGAAATAACCGTGCAGATGAGATGGATTATCGAAGGTTGCTAAAATTTGAGTGAGAAGAAAGTTGGAACTCGAACAACCACACCCACCACCACCACCACTACTCCTCCCCCCATACCACTCATCAAGGCAGTCAACATCACCCCACTTGCCCCAAAATAACCTTGGCAGTCAACATCACCCCACTTTCCCCAAAATAACCTTGGCAGTCAACATCACCCCACCTGCCCCAAAAATGCCTTGCCTGTTTGCACAGAGGAGAAGAGAATGCCATGCAGCTGGAAGGGCTTCACAGAAGTGGACGCCACAAAGCCAAACGAGAACGCCGGTTGCTTCACTCCCGGCTGCAGCACCGCACACAGCGACACACTCCCCTGCAGCAAGGGCTCATCTGGCTTCAACTTTGAATTCGACAGGAACACTTGAATGTTGCCGGTATCTCCAGGCTCATAGTCCACCCATGCCTTGTATGAGTCGCCGTCTGTGAGTGTGAATGGAGACACCTCCTTGACCAAGGGCTCTTCTGAACCGTTGATGCTCAGCCCTACGTGCTGCTCGCCCGCATCATCCTGAAGCGTGTCGAATACCACGGCCATGCTCCTTGGTCCCACTCCACTATACCCCACACCACCAGGTTTTCCTGCCTTGGGCTTTGCCGCGATTACAAATGCAAAGCCGCTGGAACTTGAGGTACCAGACTGGGGCATGAGAGCGAAGGTGAAGTTGACTCGGAATGCCAAACCCAAGCCGCATGCCGAGGTCACACCAGGGGGGTACATAAAGAGGGTCACTGCCTTCGCCATGAACTTTCCCACCGTCTCCTGCTGCGTGCCCTTGGTGAGCACTGTGAATGGCGGGAGAATATTTCCCTGGAAGCCTGAAGAGTTGCGAAAGGGCAGCAGTGCACGGGGAAGGGTGGGAGCGGTGGAGAAAGAGAATGTGTGTGCTAAGCTGTGGAGACCAAATTTTGTGGTTGACGACGCTATGAGGGCGGGATCTTAATTCAAGGAGCACAAAGAATGTGACGTACATAAAGCCAGTGCTTTGACATTCTGAAAGCATGTAACGATTTTTCATCACCTCCTGAAATACAGGTGATTCCTCCAAGCTGCAAGGATCCCGCATCACACAGGCACGTTGGCACCAAACTAGGCCCATCTGGGTAGCACACGCCCCGACCACCACAGGCGAAAGCGGTTGGAGAGATGCCACAGAATGCCATGCACTGTGCTGCGGGCCGCTGCATGGCAGGGCGGCAGGCTTTGCTTGGTGCGAAGCAGTTGGCGACGATGTTGAGTCGACGGCAGTCTGGTGCGGACACAACACCCGACAGGTAGTTGTCGGTCAGATCCGCTTGGGAGTTGACTGGGAGATTCACAAGGGGGCCTGTGAGGTAGTTGCGGCATAGACCACTGCAGAGGAGAGGCAGGGAAATTACAATAGAAGAAGAGGATAAGAAGGACGAGGAGGCAGTGGAGAGCAAGGGTACAGACTAGCACCCTCAGATCACTTGTACCTTGCAATCCACAATCACACGACTCCAGTTGCATGCGCTATACTAGTACCAAGACCACAGGATACAGCAAATGAGAGGGTGGTGGTCAATATAACAGCAGCTGATGGGGAGGGGAGAAGCAGCTGGAGTACAGCCAGGCAAAGGCTTACAGATAACTCAGTACTGGAAGGTTGCTGATTGTAGCAGGAATTGTGCCACTGAGCCGGTTTTCAGAAAGTGACCTGTCATGATGAGCATGAGAGGGCATGCGGTGCATACAGGAAGCTCAAGTTTGTATGGATTCTACCTCAAGTTCTTACAGGCTGTCTTAAGCTATGTGGTTTACACTCATCACGTGGAGGGAAAATCATGGAAGAGACAAGCAGAAGGGAAACAAGGCCAAGTAAAAGGGCTTACAGGTATTGCAGATAAAAAAGGTTGCCTATTGCAGTGGGAATTGCGCCAGTGAGCTGATTGCTTGAAAGACCTCTGCCAGGATGAGCATGAATGGGCATGCGGTAGACATGGGAAGGTCAACTTTGCATGGCAACGAGCAGTGGAAAAGAGCAAGCAACTCCATTGGAAGGTGAAATCCCTGACAATACAACCGAGGCATGAGATGCAGCACAGCATTATCAGTGGGATTACATGTGTGTCGTTCTGATTTTGGGGCATTAGGCGGCGTACGCTTGCTAAGGTACACAGGTTCAGGCAAGACAACCACGAGTTACGAACCTCGAGTTACATCAGCGTGACTCGAACCCATCCAGGTTGCGAATTTTAAAGCTTGATCATCGAACCATGAGCTGTTTGGGCTGGCTCGATCCGGAACAAAGTGGTTTGGCTGATTCAACCGCCAGTTTTCTCAGATTCAAACCGGACCAGTTTGGGCTTGGTACTTGCTCGTGCATACTTACAGGATTTCTAGGTTTGTAAGCATGCCGATTGTGGTGGGGATAGAGCCATTTAGCTGATTGCTATCAATACTTCTGCAACGACGAACACGAATGGGTAAATAGGCACGTGGTAGACACAGGGAGTAAAGATCGGAAACGAGCAGCGAACAGTAGCAAGCAATATACTTATGTTAAACTTCCTGAAAATGCAACAGAGGCATGAAAGGCTGCGTGATTGACATTGTTTGTAAGGCGTGTGCCGAGAATGGCAGGGGATAGAAGAGGTCACGAGAGTTGAGGAGGGGTGTGTTCTTGGCTGGCCTCCAGGCATGTGATAAATTGCACAGGGAACTGAGCATATGAGAGGGAAGAGGAGAGGCAAATTCACGAGCAAAACTCGGCTCGTGTCATTGCTCATACGAGCATGACCCAGGACGAGTTGACCTAGTTTTGCTCGGCTCGCCTCGCTGACCATGTCTCAGGCGTTTGAAACTGTTTGGGATGAACACGTTCGTCCGTCGCTCGTGTCTAGTAGACACTCCTGGATCTTCTTCAAACGAAGGTCGAGGCATCTGCTATGGTTGTCATTAGGGAAGAGCAGTCCAGCACTCACTTTTGATGAATGCGGAATTTCTTAACAAGATCCCTGCTCCTACTGCGGCACACAAGGCATCCAATCCACAAGACTCACACCCTCCCCTACTCCACTTAGCGTAATAGCGTCATCAAGAGCCACATTCGCAATCTTGCAAATGCGGCTGCCATCTCTCTCATGCCTCCACACCCCCTTCCCTATGGAGCTATGTTCTTATCCATGCCCCTAGTTTGACAAGATTCAACAAGTACTGGTTTTGGTTCAGTACTTGCTCGTGCATACTTACAGGCGCTTTAGGTTTGTAAGCATGCCAATTGCAGTAGGGATTGAGCCAGTGACCTGATTGTGATCAAGATATCTGCGAGAATGAAAACGAATGGGCAAACACCAGTGGGAAAAAAATCCCGAAAATGTAACGGAGGCATAAAAGGATTATGAAAGGAACGTTGTCAAAATAGAACAAGGAGTTGTTATTTTGCTCACAGCAGCACCTTCTAAAACAAAACACACAAACAAACTAAATCTTTTAGCAAATGAACCCCGCTTGTCTTGTAAAAGATGAAAAGGAACAAATTTCCTCGACAACAGATTTTTCTTTCCACCCTGCATCAAACCATGAGCTGTCTGGCTGGTTTGACCCGAACCACAGTAGTTCAGTTTTTCTACGGCTGCCAGTTCATCCAGGTTTGACCGAAAGCGGTTCAATTTCGGTACTTGCTCGCTCATGCCTACGTACAGGTGTATGAGGTTTGTAAGGGTTCCTATTTCAGTGGGGATTGAGCCTGTGAGCTGATTGTACTGAAGATATCTGCAACGATGAACATGAATGGGCATGCATACAGGGAGCTGAAGAGTGCAAGAAAGCAGGTAAAGACAGGAGCAGGCAACTCCATTGGGAGGCAAAGTCTCTGAAAACTCAAAAAGGCATGACAGGCCATGGACTTTGTCCGTGGGATGTCTGCTAACAATGGCAGGGGATAGATGGGGAGAGAAAAAGTGAGGGGAGTGGCAAGAAGATTATAGATTCTGAGTAGACAGGTTGTGCTGAAAGGGTAGAGATAGCATGGTTTCAGGCAAAAACAGGCCTGTAGCCGGCCCGACCCGAACTGCCCCTCCTGTCGAGCCGACCCGGCCCTTGGCCATGCAACCACATGCGGGCCACGGTTTGGCCGGGCCAGACCAGGACAAGCCTGGGTCAGGCCGGTCCAAGCCCAAGGTTCGGGCATCCAAAGAGGGCCGCACGAACGGACAAACGAACAGAGGGGTCGTAGGCTGTTGAAGCTTTTATTCCAATGACCAAACTGCTGCAGTTTGTTGCAAACATTTCTTTGCAAATAGATTGAGTTCAGTCTGGTTCGACCGAAGGTGGAGGCGGTTAGATTGAACCGAACGGAATTTCGGTTCGATGCTCAAGTCTATCCCAACCTTCACCAAGTGTGATCAACTGAAAGCTCAACATTCCAATAAGGGTTCAAATATTTCAGCAATTCACCGATCGGAGATTTCAGCCCACGTGAGTTCATCTGGAGATTGCAAGACACAGAGTGGAAGAGAAGACTCAAGTGGATAGAAAATCGTGGAGGAGAAAAGCAGAAGCGGGAACACAGCCAAGCAAAGGGGTTTACAGGTAATTCAGGTTTAGAAAGTTGCCTATTGCTGCAGTGGGAATTGTGCCGGTGAGTTGATTGCTTGAAAGACCTCTGCCACAATGAGCATGAATGGGTATGTGGTAGACATGGGAAGCCTAAGCTCGCTTAGGAATTAGCAACAGATAAAAACAAGCAACTCCATTGAAAGGCGACAAAAAGCAGCGCGGTGGACATGTGTGTTGATATTGGCAGGGAATAGATGGGGCAGGAAAATTGTTGAAGGACTTGTTTTGCTTCTGTTCCATGGTATGTCACAAACGTATAGAATGGACATGGGAAAGAGAGCATGGGGACGCGAAAATATGATAGGAACAGATGGAAAGGGAAGGAGAAAGGTAAGGTTGAGCAGAAAGGGGTGCAAAGAAAAATGTAAAGACTCAGAGGTGAAATGACAGGAGCAATCAGGAGGGACGAGCAAGAAGCATGGAGGAAATGGACCAAAAAAGGCGTTGCACTCAGAAAAGGGTTGAAAGAGTGCGTTGCCAATTGCACAGATTCTGAGCCCAGCGAGCTCTAGACAGCAGTGTGGCCCTCTCCCTTACCAACCGGCACAGGGGTGTTAGCCAGAGTCGTGTGTCTGAGTTCGCTGTTTGTGCATGTCTGCAGACAGACACTGTAGTGTGTGTCATTCCACACCCTCAGACCACTTCTACCTTGCAGACCACAAACACATGAGTCCAGTCACACACGCACTCTTAATACCAAGACCACAGCATACTACAAAAGAGAGGATGGTGGTCAGCTGAGCTGATGCAAGAGGATAACAAGCAAGAGGGGTCTGCGGACCATGGATATTCACCACTTAAAGGACAACACCCAAATTACTCAACGGAAGTCAAGGCGGGAAAATAGGTTTGGGAAAGCAGAGTGTTGAGGTTCGAAAACCTCCCCTAAACCTCTCTTCCCCGAAACCAGAAGGAGTGAGACACAAACTGGGCCCAGTTTGTGAAGGCGTTTCGGTAATTCGGGGGCTGGGCTTTAAAAGGAGGAGAAATTGAGGAGAGCACGGGAGTACAGCCAAGCAAAGGCCTTGCCAGGGGCTTACAGATAATAAAGTTTGGAAAGGTTGCTGATTTCAGCAGGAATTGTGCCGCTAAGCTGATTGACAGAGAGTATTCTGCAACGGTAAGTATGAATGGATATGCGGTAGATAAAGGCAGATAGATACAGGAGGCTCAAGTTTTCATGGAAACGAGCTGGGGATGGGAGCAAGCAAATCTACTGGGAGACGAAATCCCTATGCAACAGAGGCATGAATGGCAGGAAAATCAAAGACATGATCTGTGGGATTGGATGTGGGCTGACAATGGCAGGGGATAGATGGGGCCAGGTAAAGTGAGGAGAGACGTGTTATTTCTCTGCCCCGAAAGGCGTGCCAGCCACATATAGAATGGGCACGGGGAACAGACCATCGGAGAGCGGAGGACGGAGGCGGAAACAAGAACGGAAAAAGGTAAGGGAAGGAATGACGCGGAAAAGAGGGATGATTTTGTGAGAGGTTCGAGGTGAAAGAGCAGCGTGGCTTCACTCCCCCTTACTGTCGCTGCTCGTGCCTTACAGGAATCTTAAGTTCGTAAGAATGCCGATTTCAGCGGGGATTGAGCCAGTGAGGTGATTGTACTGAAGATATCTGCGACGATGAACATAAATGTGTTAATGGGAACGCATGTGGTAGTGGGAATTGAGCCATTTAGCTGATTGCTATCACTCTTTCTGAGAGAATGAACATGAATGGGCACGCATGTGGCAGGGAGTGAAGATTGCCTGGGAGCAAGCGGATAGTAGCAAGCAAAATACTGGGAGGCGACATCCCTGAAAATGCATGAAGGGTCGCACGATGGACTATGTCTGTGAGATGCGTGCTGTGCTGACAATAGCAGAGAATAGCCACGGATAGGAGAAGTGGAGAGACACGTGACGTCTGAAGAGACAAGTGACATCATATCAAGATTTGCACGGGCAAATGAACATATGAGAAGGAAGAGGCACATACGAGATAGCGACAAGTAGGAGGAGTGGAAAGACAATGATAAACGGGGAGAAAGGCTGTGCAGAAAGAGTGGGCGTGAGCTAAGGGTCAGGTCGACCCCCGAAGTTGTGGACGAGGCTGCACCAGCTCCATCAATTCGACCAATTCGACTCGGGCTCAGGTCGAACCAGCTCCACCAATTCGACTCGGGCTCTACGCTACGGGACAGCAGGTGACATGTCCCATCATATGGCAACAGAAAGAAAGCTGGAGCTCACTTTTCACGCTTCCAGCAACATTGCACTAGCCACGTGTGTTTCGTGCTGAGTATTCTTTGCAACATACTTCAGGCATACAAAGTTGGACTGGTTTGAGCTGAACTCACTAGAACTGATTCAGACTCAAACTTGTTTCAGAAGTGATCCACACTTGAAGAACAAACCGTAAGATGTTCTAGGTGGTTCAACCCGAACCAACTCACACTGGTTTGGTGTGTTCGACTATGCCCGCGACTTCGATCAGGTTTGGCGCGACCCATTTCGGGTTCAATAACTACTCAGGCCTTCTTACAGTTGCTGCAGGTTTGTAAGGATGCTGATTGTACTGGGGATTGAGCCAGTGAACCGATTTTTGATAAGATATCTGTGACATGAATCAGGAATAGAATCAAAAAGAGGAGAACATTTGTGGAGAAGAGGAGGGAAGACCATGTGGGGTGGCTTACATGTATCCTACGTTCGCAAGGTTGCTCAGTTCAAAGATATTGAGGCAGCCAGGTATCCTAGTACAGCTTTTAGACTCGCTTCCCTACCTGCACTGCCTTCGTAATTCTCTCCAAGGGTTCTCTTAACATGGTATCTAGGTATACAATGGCATGGTATCTAGATCCACAATGGCATGGGTATCCAGAGCCACATACTCCCTGTGTGGGCTCCTTCCTTCCTCACAACAGTTCCAGGCTGCTTTTCTTGCATTTCTCCTCCCTCTTCCTCTAGTCGTATTCCCAGTGTCCGTCGGCTTTTCAGAGAACGCCTCACAGCTATCAGCGCATTACCTCTCTGCCCTTAGCGCCGCCACCCTCCTACCGACCAGCGTGTCTCCTAGCGCCTACTCCACAATCTCCGGGCCAATCTGCACTCTTTGCATCCACCACCTCCACGCTCTCAGCTACGATTCATACGCCCTCATCTATGCCCTGTGCGCTCTCAGCTATGCCCTGTGCGCCCTCAGCTATGCCCTGTGCGCCCTCAGCTATGCCCTGTGCGCCCTCAGCTATGCCCTGTGCGCCCTCAGCTCACCCCTGTGCGCCCTCAGCTATGCCCTGTGCGCCCTCATCTATGCCCTGTGCGCCCTCAGCTATGCCCTGTGCGCCCTCAGCTATGCCCTGTGCGCCCTCAGCTATGCCCTGTGCGCCCTCAGCTCACCCCTGTGCGCCCTCAGCTATGCCCTGTGCGCCCTCAGCTATACCCTGTGCGCCCTCAGCTATACCCTGTGCGCCCTCAGCTATGCCCTGTGCGCCCTCAGCTATGCCCTGTGCGCCCTCAGCTATGCCCTGTGCGCCCTCAGCTATGCCCTGTGCGCCCTCAGCTATGCCCTGTGCGCCCTCAGCTATGCCCTGTGCGCCCTCAGCTATGCCCTGTGCGCCCTCAGCTATGCCCTGTGCGCCCTCAGCGATGCCCTGTGCGCCCTCAGCTCACCCCTGTGCGCCCTCAGCTATGCCCTGTGCGCCCTCATCTATGCCCTGTGCGCCCTCAGCTATGCCCTGTGCGCCCTCAGCTATGCCCTGTGCGCCCTCAGCTATGCCCTGTGCGCCCTCAGCTCACCCCTGTGCGCCCTCAGCTATGCCCTGTGCGCCCTCAGCTATACCCTGTGCGCCCTCAGCTATACCCTGTGCGCCCTCAGCTATGCCCTCTGCGCCCTCAGCTATGCCCTGTGCGCCCTCAGCTATGCCCTGTGCGCCCTCAGCTCACCCCTGTGCGCCCTCAGCTATGCCCTGTGCGCCCTCAGCTATGCCCTGTGCGCCCTCAGCTATGCCCTGTGCGCCCTCAGCTATACCCTGTGCGCCCTCAGCTATGCCCTGTGCGCCCTAATCTATGCCCTGTGCGCCCTCAGCTCACCCCTGTGCGCCCTCAGCTATGCCCTGTGCGCCCTCAGCTATGCCCTGTGCGCCCTCAGCTATGCCCTGTGCGCCCTCAGCTATGCCCTGTGCGCCCTCAGCTATACCCTGTGCGCCCTCAGCTATGCCCTGTGCGCCCTCAGCTATGCCCTGTGCGCCCTCAGCTATGCCCTGTGCGCCCTCAGCTATGCCCTGTGCGCCCTCATCTATGCCCTGTGCGCCCTCAGCTCACCCCTGTGCGCCCTCAGCTATGCCCTGTGCGCCCTCATCTATGCCCTGTGCGCCCTCAGCTATGCCCTGTGCGCCCTCAGCTATGCCCTGTGCGCCCTCAGCTCACCCCTGTGCGCCCTCAGCTATGCCCTGTGCGCCCTCAGCTATGCCCTGTGCGCCCTCAGCTATACCCTGTGCGCCCTCAGCTATGCCCTGTGCCCCGAACAGTGTTCGGTTCGCCGAACAGCCATATTCGAGCCCAGGCGAACACAAACATGTTCGTGTTCGCCATTTGCTCATCCCTACTGCCAATTGCTGGTTGCTGTTTCCTCTCGAGTGGTCCGTCTTATTGAATGTGACAAACGTAAGACAAGAATTGCTATCTGAACTAACCTGCTCCCCAAACCGCCACATGCTCAGTGCATTTTGTGGGCCTTTGGTGGGCCAATACAGAATAGACAAAAGCGCGCAAAGTATTTTAGGAGGTGCCTCAAATCAAAATACGCCTCAATGGGAACGTACAGAATAGAGAGCTCGCGGAGGCTGCTGATGGAATCCGGAATGGACCCGCTTAGACTGAGCTCAGGTAGATTCCTGCACCCACCCACGAGCACCGCACAGCACTGTACCCTTATGCATACCCAACCCAAGCATGTCACCGCTTGGTTTCACGGAAAATGAATGACTCGTGGTGAGGGAGGCCACCAGGGTAGCCCCCTAGCACACAACATCATGGTGGTCAGTGGTCACTGCATGCGCACACTGAAGCAACCCAACCCCCCTGCACGAGCGCATTGCCGTCAGATCAGAGTGAGTGCGGATTGAATCTCACATCTCCAAGATCATCCCGTTGCTGTCGCATGTGATACCCTGTGCTCTGCTGCAGTCCGGATGGGCGCCCCCCCAACCAGGCAACGCCTCATCCCATGCCGTCTGGCAGTCCCGCAGGAATTGCACTGCGCGTTGGTGGAGTGGAGTGGAGGTGGGGGGGTGGATGGGGAGGGGAGGAGAAGGAGAGATGGGGGAGTGGATGGGGAGGGGAGGAGGAGAGGGGTGGGAGTGGATGGGGAGGAGAGGAGAAGGGGAGGTGGGGGAGTGGATGGGGAGGAGAGGAGAAGGGAAGGTGGGGGAGTGGATGGGGAGGGAAGGAGAAGGGGAGGTGGGGGAGTGGATGGGTGGGGAGGGAGGAGAAGGATAGGTGGGGGAGTGGATGGCAAGGTGAGGAGAAGGGGAGGTGGGGGAGTGGATGGGGAGAGGAGGAGAAGGAGAGGTGGGGGAGTGGATGGGGAGGGGAGGAGAAGGAGAGGTGGGTATCATTCAGAGGGTGGGGAGGTAGGAGGAGAGGAGTAGGAATGAAACGGGGAGTTGGTGGTGTGTGTGTGTCTGGCTGGGGGGGAGTGGCGCAAGGAACGCACGCAGCAAGCAATGGCACAGAGCGAATAGAAACGCCATGTCGCAATCATGGCTCTGAAAACAAACAAACAAACAAGAAAGGGATGAGGATTACCAACAGGTGTCAGCCAGTCACGATACCCAATGTCCCCCGCAAGTGTCCCAGCAGGACCTATGCACAAAAAATATAAACAGCACTTTGTCACGAAAAGCCACAGCGAGGCAGTCAGAAACTGCTTCCCATTTCTGTTTCCGACTAACTGCGCCATCATTTCATCATCACAACCAGCCGCGCGTGCTCGGATCGAATCTTTTAGGTCAGAAAGAAACAAGATCGTGTGAATAATAGTGCTTTCAAAAAGCCATTTCCTAAGGTACGCGAGTGACGCCTTTGGATACCCATCTGACCATGATATGATACGCTACCGGCGGTAAAGATGTCTGCCTCGCTTGTTCCTTGGACATTTACTAGAATTGTCAGGGTGTGTTTTGGAAATTAGTATCAGAAAGGGATCTTTGAAACGTTGGCAGGAGCAACCTTTGGGATAGCTGTTGGTTCAACTTGTCGAGCTCGGTTGCTCACTGAACTGACCATTCTCTCACCTTGCGACGCCTCAATAGGCAGGGCGTTGACCAGGGCGACGGGCGTGGCGAGTTGAAGGACGGCGAGGCACCATGCCGCGAGAGCTAGCGCGCGCAGCACCCATCGCTCTACTCCTACTAGCGCCATGATCTCCTACTCGCGGCTCACCGCCGCCGCGAATTGTGGCGGCAGGCGGCCAGGGTGGAGAGCTGCACTGCGCCGCTCCGCGCTCCGCAGCTGTAACGTCGTCTGTGGGCCAAACGCGCTGCACTGCGCCGCTCCGCGGCGCTGGTGACTCGGGCCAAACGCGGCGGCGGCCCCCGCGAGGTCGGTGGCGCTGATAAGCGCTCCGCCGCCGTCGCGAGAGCCAAGCTGCTCGCGAGTGCTCTGCTTCTCACGTTCGCACTGCTTGCTGACTGCTCTCGGCGGTTGTTGTCACGGGCGGCCGCCGGCCCCGGGTAGTGGATGAAATTCAGGCGCACGAGTTTTTAGACGTCTCAAAACCCGTGGATCAGATTCAGGCGCGCGAGTGAGCCACGTGGGGCCGGTGGGACTGATGATGGGTCGTCGAACGCGGTGGGAGATCGGCTATTACGCTGCCGCGTACATGAGACCCGGACGAGATGCTTTGCGAGTGAAATTAGACTACGAAGGGAAGGGTGGGTGGGACCGAAAGCAGTGCCGACGAGCGAGGAAGGGCGAGTATGTTGGGTTGAGAAAAAAACGCCTTGGTTGCGGCCGCCCTGACGCAGACTATCCTCGCAGCGGTCACACCATCGCCCATTGCTTCAGGCTCCAGCCTTCAGTCATGGGCGGCTTGTGTGGATTAGGGCTGTTCCGCGACTGAGGGTGACCACAAGATTACTACCGTTGTTGTGTGGGGGGTGCGGGTAATCATCCTCTCGCGTTATTGCGTGCACCACAGCTGCTAAGTGTTGACCTTAGTACATCGTTTGAGGAATTGGATATTCGTTAGAGAAATTGTAAACGAATCATGGTTGTGCTTTCTTATTGGATGGCAGGATAGTCAATGTAAAGGGTAACCCATTGGTGGTACCCTGGCTGTCAGTCATAACGCCACCTGCCCAATTAATCATGGGTGCTTCTTTGATTGGAATTTAATGTATAAGCGTTTTGGACAAATAGATCGACATACTACCGCATCGCCCCGGATAGTATCACCGTCCGATTCAAAGCGCAGGCACTTCTATCTGGAACCATGTGCTTATGGCTGGTCCTAAATTATAAGCCCCCCCCCCCGTAAAACCTTGATCTATTATAAGCGCATCCATAAATTGACAAAAAAAAAAAAAAAAAGCTTACAACAATAACGAGTTTCGATTCAGAAGTGAGCACACATTCTTTTTTGCTTTGGTTGACTCTCGAGGAATTGACAAGCAGAGCGTCCAGTCAGGATGCTTTGACAGAGGGGCAGACTTAGGACGTGGTGCGGAACGCCTTGGCACGCCTCGATGCACCGCGGTGCAACGGGTTTTGAAGCTTCCACGCATGCGGGAACCCGGTGCATCGCCTCGTCCCGGGGATTGCCGGGACGAGGCGATGCACTCACGCGTGCTGGCGCCCCGGGGCGCCCCAGCTCGCTCGAAGGACTTGCGAACTCTGGGGATATTGGTTACTTGCCAAAATTTTCGTGCGAGGACCTCGATGAAAGCGTTTTCTGATTGCGACGCTTTCTTGGAGGGATCAACGGCAAATTTTTATTTTGCGAGCAGGTAGACGAAAGTCAACGTTGTATACATCCTTGGGCGAGTTTCGCATCTTAGCTCCTTGATTTCGCCCATTGCTAAATGAAGGCTCGAACCCGGCGCTTGGAAGACTACCTGTTGTCAGAATGTTATTCTCTAGCCTGTAGTGGGGTGCTCTGTAGCGAGTACAACCCATCTAGGGTTTGCTATATGTATCCTCATTGCTGCTAGTGAAAACCCTCTTCTTTTGCCTAAACTGTCTCTTGCCTAGCTAGGACTCTCCTAGCTATGGCTCCTAACTCTACATACTATTATGACATGGCATCAGAGCTTAACGTTCCTGGCCTGTGGGCCCACTTCACTGCTTCCGCTGCTACTGCTACTCCCTGTCCGCCGCGCGCCCCGTGGTGCGCGGCGTCGAAATTAGGGTTTTCAGCCCGCCGAGCGCCTCGAGGCGCGCGGCGGTTTTCTGCCCGCCGTGCGCCCCGAGGCGTGCGGCGGTTCTCTGCCCGCCGTGTGCCCCGAGGCGCGCGGCGGGTTTCTGCCCCGTCACTCGGCGCGTCGCCCCCGGGAGGCGCTGCGACGGGCGACGGGGACCCGCGCGTCGCCCCCCGTCGCCCGTCGTGGCCTGCGCGCGGCCCGTACAGCCGGCGCGCGGCCCGTACGGGCTGCGCCAGGCCTGCGCGCGGCCCGTACGGGCTGCGCCAGGCCCGCGCGCGGCCCGTACGGGCTGCGCCAGGCCCGCGCGCCTAGCTATGGCTCCTAACTCTACATACTATTATGACACCTGTAATTTACCTTGGGCAGAGGGGCGTGCCACGGGGCGAGCTGGGGTGCCCCGGCACGCCCCGGGACGCCTCGGTGCACCGGGTCTGGACCCGTTCTGCACCACGTCCTTATGTGTCCTTAGGGTTGGCAGAGAATCGTGTGCGCAGGATTCTGATTCCTGACACTATAAAACGTCGACTCGATTGGAATCGCTAGTCCGGGGTGATACGGTGTATTTGTAGATCGCTAAATTTGGATATGTTTTTTGCATGCACATCTGAAAATTGGATGTACTTATAATGTGGCCTATGTCTCTGTATATGCTCCTGCACTTACATTGCATTGTATTCTTTAACATCAATAGTGTAATCCTCACTCGCTAGCACAAGTATGCGTAAAGTGTACATAAAATAAATATTCTTTACCGTGTCTACCAGATCAAATTCGCTCAAAACCAGAATCGTGCGGTACCACACTCCACCGTACGGGCACCAACTCGCGATGAAATGCTCAGCATCTCAAACCCTGGACTCGACCATCCTGCGATGCGTGTCAATGAGCTATCGGAAATGGCAGGCAACCATTTGTGTCGCGCGTGCTGGATAAAATGTTGAATCGCCCTACTTGCGCGTTTTCGATTCCTTTCGGCAGTGACTTTGATAGCCACTCCCTCTGCTCTGCGCTCACGCCCAAGTCTCACGGACACTTCATATCGTTATTTTCCATTTTCCGTGACCAGCGCATAAAATGGAAAATACGAAGTTTACCAGTACATGCTTTCAGTATAGTTCCCAGCGGCAAACGTTGCCTAGGAAACTGCGTACGCGACAACGGGAATGTTGGCATCGACTTACCATCCTTATCGTCTGCGAAGATAACTAGTGCAACGGGAGCTAGACTACGGGCTAGAGACGGGGCAAGAGTGATCGTAGTGTTCGTTCCTTAGTCGTTTACTTGTGCTTGCACTACTTGCTGGTTCACAGGGAAATTTGACAAGAGTTTCACTAGCAAAAGTTCACAACAATGATTCAGAATGATAGCATCAACATTGGCAACACAGACTACATCAGACCTAGCAAGGCTGCTGGTCGACTGCCAGCGCAGCACGGTCGACCACGTGCCAGCACGACTTGGTCGACCGCGCTCCAGCGGAGCAGAGTCGTGGCTTGCCAACGCTGCAAGTCCGCTATGTGCCAACGCTGCACCAAGTCGGCTGCACAGCGTTGCACCCGCTTGACAATGGTGCACCAGCTTCGCAGGTGCATGCAGCTGGTTGGCGCCCAACGCCCCGTCACATGCCCAGCGCAGACACTCCACCTGTGATGGCGCCCACCGGCCACGTTGACCTCGGGATACCACCCCCGAGGTCGTCCTCGCAGAAACCACCCCGGCAAACGTTGCCTAGGAAACTGGGTACGCGACAACGGGAATGTTGGCATCGACTTACCATCCTTATCGTCTGCGAAGATAACTAGTGCAACGGGAGCTAGACTACGGGCTAGAGACGGGGCAAGAGTGATCGTAGTGTTCGTTCCTTAGTCGTTTACTTGTGCTTGCACTACTTGCTGGTTCACAGGGAAATTTGACAAGAGTTTCACTAGCAAAAGTTCACAACAATGATTCAGAATGATAGCATCAACATTGGCAACACAGACTACATCAGACCTAGCAAGGCTGCTGGTCGACTGCCAGCGCAGCACGGTCGACCACGTGCCAGCACGACTTGGTCGACCGCGCTCCAGCGGAGCAGAGTCGTGGCTTGCCAACGCTGCAAGTCCGCGGTGTGCCAACGCTGCACCAAGTCGGCTGCACAGCGTTGCACCCGCTTGACAATGGTGCACCAGCTTCGCAGGTGCATGCAGCTGGTTGGCGCCCAACGCCCCGTCACATGCCCAGCGCAG